CCTCCTCCTCCTCCTCCTCCTCCTCTTCTCGGGACGGACAGTCAGACTGCAATGGCTCTTTCTAGATGTGGCCTTTGTGGCATTCCCACTGAGGTGGGATCCGGGTCAACCCCCTCTTTTTGTAGTGTGAAATCCTGGTCTTTTGTGCGTAGATCAAGGGGTGTGTTGGCGCGCCGTCTCCGTCACCCATGACCGATTCTGCCTCCGGTCATCTTGACTCTGTCCTGGCATCGGGCCAGGTGAGTGAGAAGGAGAGAGTCCGGTAGACGCAGCACAGTACTACTATCCCTATAAACTAATTCACATGCAATTCACCGTCCTTGCGCTTACCCTTCTGTGGACGTCGTAGGAAACAACGCGTGAACTGCCATGGATAAATAGGATGTGCGGGGTCTTGTGGACGGAGACTCACGCCGCGGCTGTACGGTAAATTCACGTTAGGTGGCTGCTGAACGATAAGTCACTGACACAGATACCCTACCTCATATGACAGCTCGACCGTCGTAACCGACGCTGTCTAATTTGTGCTTCAGAGCAGCGTGAGAGCAGGCACGCTGATTTGTGCGTGATTTAATTTTTAGTGATGGCGGACTTTCACAGTACCTACCGCACTCTCTCCTCCACCTCTACTTGGGCCCGGTGTCAATAAATAGTTAAGCAAACCGGAGGCGGGATTGAATGCAGGTGGCTAACACGGCAAAAACCCTAATCTAGGCGTACCATAACAACAAACGCTTAACCAGAATTTTAATTAACAACAAAAATGGCCGGACGACAGGGATCCTAATTGGCGCGACGTGATCCGGTAACTGGGCCTGCCACCGCACCCCAAATGCTGGCGTTTTTTATGGGTGCAAGTTCTCGATAACGCCTGCCAGAATCTGATGTGGCCCCTGTGTTGGTTCAGCGCATCTACTGCGTGGCCAGTTCTGGGACATCCTACCGCATATACATCACTACAGACTGTTACGCATGGAGATTCAGTACGCAAAATCACTTCAACCGGCCAGATCTGACACAACAACCGGTGCAAGCCGTTCCGCTCTGTCTACACGAAGTCATGTCCATCACGGCGGTCACACTCGCACAATCATGCAGGACAGCCTATCTGAATCTCATGGGGATTGTCCGACGTGTGTGCATCTTCATAACCGATAGTCGCCTAGCCAATCAAAAAACTCCCTTTGCCCAATTTCTAACAAAAATCCACTCAAGGGGAGACAATCTGCAATCCCGTTGGCTAATTTGGGTTGTCGTGAGTCCGAGTAAAATTGATCAGTCGCCTGGGATGACTAGCATTAATTGTATTACCCCCTGGCGAGGTAGGGGGATAAAAAGGTGCCCCAAAACTGCTATTTGTACATGCTCTCGGCAGTTAAACATGTTCTGCCAAATCGAGTCTCAGGCAGGCGGTGCGTAGTGTACTCTACGATAGTGGACGAAATGTTAAGTGAATCAGCATTCGATCCAGCCTTAGCCTTTTGTCAGTTAGGCGTTAACTAAAGGACCACATTTTATGAAGCTCATTTAAGTAGGCCTCACCAACTCGCAGTAGAAGTGAGCTCAAGTAACCCAACGATTCTGATGTTTCATTACTGCGCAGTTATGCTGTGAGACTGGCAGGAGATTGTTATGCTATTAAAACGAAGCTAAGCAGGATTTGCGGGAGGACGTTCTACTGGAATTTTCTCAGCTGTTCACCAAGGCTGCAAGTAAAAAAATGCTTGAAAGATCTTATAAAAAAGACCAGGCGCACCAGAACTATCATTTTTAGTTTATTTCCCCTCGTTAGCTAGCCACACTCAAACTCCAGATTGGGGACATCACAAATTTGAGCCCAACACCATATGAACCGCTGGGTAAACCCAGACTGCATCTAACCGGTCTGGTCTTGTTTAATGATAGAGTAAGTTTGCTGACCACATTGTTTTGTGCCTTACTTCTATACAACTTCTCGTTTACTATGCACCCTAGAACTTTGTTTTCATTCAGGTTTGTTTAAATCGATGCTAATTAAACCTATAGCGCACGCTATTTCGAATGCGCCAAAACACGTGCAACTAAAAAACAGTGGAATCTTCCCCACCCCTTGCTTCTAACCCTATAGTAAAGTTCATGCGTTTAATTTCCTTAATAAAAGTCCAAGTATCACCAAAGTTCCCATGTGACGGATAAAACTCGCTCCTGAAAAACACTCTCAACAAAACACTGAAATTCGTTTTGACCAAACTGAAAAACTCGGCACCTCGGTGGGATTCGGACCCACAGCAGTAATGCTACAACCACCTCAGCTACGAGGCCCCACCAGGAGACGTGAGTTTAATTATATTTGGATTGTATTTGGAGGCAGTCTCCCGGCGAGGCCTCCTAGCTCAGATGGCTAGAGCGTTGGCTGTACTGGATCCTCCCCGTGCTGTTGTGTGTTCGAATCCCGCCTGGGCGCCGAGTTATGCACAGCTAGGTCAAAATGAATTATTCAAAATCCTCAAAAACAACTATTAAATCATTGAAAGACCGATCACTTTACGTTGTCTTAAAATAGGTAAAAATTCCAAGTAAAATTATCAAACAGGGCAATACCGGACGCTCACATTCCTGATAATGCTGTGTCGAGGAGCCCGAAAAAGTAGAAAAATCCGGAAAGGCAGTGTGGTCTAAGTCCTTATAATGAAGTCTCTGTCTTGTCAAACATGAGGGGAGCCTCGATAGTCCAGTCACTGATCTTCACTAACTCGCTTTCCAATTACTCGTTTGATTTTCAAAGGGCCCTCTAATAAAAACTTCCCTTCTAACTAGATTCACCGTCAGGTCTGCAGTCCAGGAAAAGCAAACAGTTGATTTTTGAGAAGATATGAGATGCTCCTCAGAGTCTTTCATGGGGGACCACAGATACAGACTTTGTTAGCAAAACAAGTCAGCTCATTTGACTCTGATTCCTAGCAGGTTCGTAGAAGCCCATCGAATTCCATTACCAGGGCTTTATTGAGCGGTTGCATTTAAAACAAATGCAGTTTTAAGATCAAAAACTACCTAAATATATAACTTGACGTGCAACCCTCATATAACATGAGGTGTACACCAAGAACAACTTCACTCGTTTTGACCAAGCTGGAAAGCTTACCCTTCTGCCACGTGAGCAGTTAAACACACGTGGCGAACTTGGGCGAAGCCAAGAGA